CTTTTCATTAAACTAGACAAACCCAGTTCCTGCAGCTGTTATGTTTGTTGCTCTTCTTTGCACTTTTTCCAGAGTCTCAACATCTTTTTTATATTGTGGTGACCAAAACTGGATGCAATAATCCAAGTGTGGTCCTACCAAGGCATTATAAATTGTTGTATATCCCCTTTTCTCCTGTCTTTAATTTTTTGCCTTAATGTTTCTTACTCCTTTTCTGCACTCTGCAGAGGGTTCTTTAATCCATAAAGGAATAGTGTAATGGGTATGTAGATATATGTAGATCAGGGGTGGGTTGCTAATCCCGTTCCAACCGGTTCGGTTGGGATGGGGCCGGCGGCGTCCTCGTGCACGCGCGCAATTCATGCATGCGTCTTAGCGCCTGCGCGATGCTCCAGCTGCTTGCGGAGACTCGCGCAGGCGCTGTGTCATCCAGCTGCTTGCGGAGAATCGCACAGGCGCTGTATGTGCCATGCAGCTGCGTGGAAGTGCAGAAGCCTTCAAAGACTGGTAAGGAGCGCGGGTGGGCCCTTTGCCGTTCCCGGAAGTTACTTACTTCCGGGTTCGCCGACCAACCGGTTCGCGGGGACCGCAGCGAACCGGTTGAAACTCACCCCTGATGAGTTTCAAGAAAGCCTCAGACAAAATGTTTGAGAATTCTCTCTGTCAAACCAGAAGCAAAAAGCATAAGGTTACATGTTATTATTACATGCAAGATTATTACATCTTTGAGGGCACATCCCCCCCCCCCAATTTGGAACATTGATGTTAAAAAGGTTTCTATGGAAAGGAGTTCTTCACATTATGAAAAGCATTGCAGATGATATCTGGAACAGTTTCCTTTTCCATCTCCATCCTCAGAAACCAAACTCTACAATACATGAGAGATCAGTGTCTATTCCAGGAGGATCTGATAGTTTCCAGCAATCAAGTGCAGATGAAATGAATGAAAACAGTGAATGAATGAACGAGGAGCCAGAAAAGCTGCAGGTGTTTTAAAATATTTATTTTGAGGACAAAGGTTCCGCCAAGAAAATGTATAAACAAGATTCTGCCTAGCAAAATCCCTGGAGAGTAGCCAGCATTTGCTTGCATGGAAACTCAACAGTCAATGGCCTCCAGAAAAGGAGGGGGTTTTAAAAGAAATAACCTTTTTTCTTAGTCTGTTCCCAGAGCCAATATGATACCTCTGATGTGCCCAATGGGCCACAACCACAATCCCCACCCAGTGGGGCCATAATTGGAGCTGCAATCCGAACATATTGAAAGAAGCAGGTCAGATGAGTTTTCCCTTTTCTGTTTGAGTGCTCATTGCCCTTCCCCTATAGACACACCTCCTCGTTTCCACATCTTGCCAGGACTGGTTCTAGCTCATTCTGTGCATCTCCTAGCATCCCCAGCGCTCATATTCCTTCCTAGCTTTCAGCCACAGAAGGATGTGGGCTGCAGCTCCGAAGGAGGACATGCGCAACATTTGGCTTCAGCTTGAAGCAAAGCGCACACACGCTCTCTCTCTCTCTCTCTCTCTCACACACACACACACACACAGACACACACACACAAACACACAGCCTTGACTTGCAGAAACGCGGAGGGAGGGGAGGAGGGAGGGGAGGTCGGGGATACACTCTTAGCAACTGAGAAAGAAGAACCGACTTGCTCTTGGTTCCCCCGCGACGCGGGGCGGATCTAACAAGGGCCTCCTCCTCCTCCTAGGCCTTCTCATTGGTTGTTCCAAGATTGCCTCCCTGTCGGTCCGTTAAATGGGGCATCATTAAAAAGGAAAGCCCGGTTTCGGAAAGGTGGTTGGGAACGCGTGCCGGCAGGCTGGCCTGCGGAAGGGGTTCAACGGGCCACAGGGAGGCGCGCTATTTACGCGAGTGGATTATTATTCCTTTCCCCAGAACCTCACCGACGGCGCCCCGCTCCTGCCTGGGACGCGAGGACTGTGGACGCCGCGCGGAGCTGCACGGGGAAAAGGCACCCCGGAGGATTTGAAAGGCCGGAGCTTAGACGCAGGGGCGCTGGGGAAGCGGGAATAGAATAGAATAGAGTCTGGCCTCGGAGGTGGAGGAAGCAAGGACGGCAGAGTTCAGCCTCCACCACCGGCTCTGAACATGGCTGGCTCCTCTCCTCCGGGTAAGTAACTGTCGGCGGGGCTGGGCTGGCGCATCTCCTCCCGCCCTTTAGCTGGGCCGCAGGTGAGCCGCCTCCATTGTGCGGCCGTACAGCACCTGAACCTGCTGGGCTGGGACGAAGCGGCCGCAGTTGCCCTCCGGCCAACAACTCCGTCGGCTGCTGCGGATCGCTCCCGGCGCGTCTCATGGCCGACGCCCGCTCCTTTCTCTCTCTCTCTCTCGCTGCGGGGACGCGGCAGCGCAGCCTCTCGGCTCCGTTGCTGCGGTTGCCGGCCTCCCAGCTTGCGTGGCTGGTGCTTATCTAAGGCAGAGATTTCGGAACAAGGAAAAAGCGCCCCTAGCCGGGCGGGGCAACCCCCAGCCCCGCAATTCTAAGAGTAGTTGTTAAGCCTTAATGCTGCGCTTTGGGGCTTGTCTGAGCAAACGCCGAAGGTGGCTAGTTCGAGCTTTATTAGCCATATCCGCCGCCTCGGCTTTCAATCACAATATGGCTTTCCGGCGAGGAGCTGCAGTATGACTGAAGTGGGCAAAAGGGGCGGGGGAGGCGGCCGCCCAAGGTGCCTGGAAGCGGGCCGGGGAGGACGGAGCGCGTGAGCGTCTGGGGGCTTTCAAGCGAGGGTGTGTTCTGCGGGAGGGAGGCCGCCTTGGGAGGGAAAGCCGGCTTGGGAAACTGGGTTTCCCTGTGAAAAGGGCCGGGGTGGGGGGTGGGAAGGGAGACTTGAGGGAGAGGGATAGCCGGAGAGGGGCGGGGACGCGTTGGAAAGACCCTCCAGAAAGCTGGGTTTCTACGGGGTGCGCCTCGGCGGCCAGTGCCTGGGATTCTTTTTGGGGTGTGTTCTGAACTAACCTTAGAAAGGCGGGGCGACCTGCATTTCAGTCGGACAATTCATCCCGGGGTGAAACTGCAGTCGCTCGGTTTCCCTTGAAGGCGCTCATCCCCCCTCCCTCCACTCCGCTCCATAAGAGGCTTCCTCGCTTTCGGCCTTTCTAACACTCGCGGAGAAGCAGGCGCCCTCCGTTTTTAGCCCTCCGTTCCCCTCGGGGCGGGGCGGCTGGAGAGGAGAGGCGGTTGAGGGCGTTCGGAGGCAGGCGGGATCGGGCAAGAATTCCCATCTCCGGGGTGCTTTGGCGGGAGAGGAAGGGAGGAACGGGCAGCAAAGCTCTCGGGGCAGGTGGCGGCCGCCGCCGCCGCCTTCTTGGCCAGGTGAGTTGAGCAGCAACGTCAGATCCGAGCGCCTTTGCTTTTGTTTTGCCTCACAGCTGCTTCGGCTGAGTTTCCGCACGAGGATGCACCGTGATGACTGCCACAAAGCGGGGACAGCATCTCGGGCGGCGCGAGCGGCACCATCTTTTCCAGCAGCCGCCGAAAGCTCGGTTGTAATGGAAACTGGGGGCGATGCCAGCACAGCCCCTCCGCGCAGGGGAGGCGGCGGCGGCGGCGGCGAGTTAACAACTGCTGGTGTAGCAGAAGCCGCCGGTTTCCAAGCGGCCGCCGCTCGCCCACCGGCTCCTGCGGGGGGAAAGGATATGAATATGGATGGTGGGCCAGGCAGCGCTAGTCGAGGAGGAGGCGGCGGCGTGGATCCTGCTGCAGTGCCGAAAGGAGGCAGAACCGCGGCCCCCGCCCCCTTTCCCCGTGTGCCTTACGCCAAAGATCCCAAAACAGCCCACCAGCGCTTTCTGCGGAGGAGTGTGGTGGATTCCGATCAGGAGGAGCCCCTTTTTGAGCCCGCGGTGCCGCAGCAGCAGCAGCCCAAGAAGATCCTCATCCTCTCCAAACCCAGGCGGATAATCGCGGAGAGGGCGAAAGCGGGGCAGAGGCCCGTGGTGGTGGAGGAGACGCGGCCGGGAGAGGAGCCCGCCGTCCAGGTGAAGGAGGTGGCCGCCGAGAGGCTCCCGGCAGGTGACCAGGCGAAGGAGGGCGGCAGCAAGGAGGATGCCGGGAAAAAAGAGGTGCCCGAATCTTCCAAGGATCAGGTCAAGTCCAAGAAAGAGGAGGCCGAAGAGGAGGAGGAGGCCGATATGAAAGCGGTGGCCACCTCCCCCGATGGCAGGTTCCTAAAGTTTGATATTGAACTTGGTAGAGGATCTTTCAAAACTGTCTACAAGGGGCTCGACACGGAAACGTGGGTTGAGGTTGCTTGGTGCGAACTTCAGGTAAGCCGTGTCAAATGTCTTGTCTGGGCTTAAATGCAGTAGGTGCTGGGGGACAAAGTGCATATGTCATCTATGAAAGCTTTGCTGGAACAATCTCCACAGTTTATCCTCCCGGAGCTAACTATAGCTCAGTGTTTTCATTGGTTCCATCCTTCCTCTCCCCCCTCCCCCCCCCACTGCCGGTTATGCATACACACACTCCCCCTAGGATTAACCCCTTATGTTCTGGGCTTTACTAAGGGCAAGCAAGCTACTTTCTTGTTCTATGCTTGAGACCAGCTAATTTTAGGAGGTCTGCCAAATTATAGGGCCTTTGAATAACCCTTGTTTTTAATTATTATTCAAAGTAATTTTAAATAATTATTTCAGAGAAATAACAGCATTTATATTGTCATGCTAAGGTATTTGCAGTATATACTACTACAACTCTTGGATCTGTTATTTGTAATTAAGGGAAATGGGAAGTTTGAGGGTAACAATCCCAGATAACTCAAATGTATTAATGGATGCCAAGATCCATGACTTTTGGTGGATTCAAATTTGGGGAACTTGTGGCTGTTTCCAACTCTACTGTGCCTTCCAACTGTACTTCCCAGAAACCTGTAGGTTGCATGACTCAAGAGAAAATTAGGGGACCATACTATCTTTGCTGCTTCCTCTATACCCAGTTTGTTGGTGCCAAGACCTAAGAGGCAAGTGGCAGGAGAATGTACCAATTATTGCTTTTAATATGCTTATACAGTGCAAGTGAAGATGGCAATATTTGCTAGCATCATGTCTGTGGCACAATAAAGGTAGCTGCTTTGGAACCAAGGTCGAAATTTGAAATCTCTTAATGGTGGTGGCAATGAGGTAAGGCTGAGGGAGCAACTCCGGTGTTTGTGGGGGGCACCATCAGTCAATGGGAAAACACTCTCTTTCCTTGTAGGGAGGGGCTACTTGGGGACATGTCAGGATGGGAATTGAGGGGGAGGGGTGCAGGTTTATTTATGGTCCACAATTCCCTTTGTTCTCCTCACTCCATTGAAATCACAAAGTAGTTCTGCAGTTCAACTGAGGAGGAAGGAGTGATTTCTGATGCTCCCTGCCAGCTTTCTGCAAGTAATATCAAGTTGGAAGCCAGCAGGAAATCAAAATCTGTTAACACTGCTCTTTTGCCTACCCATAGCCATTACATTACTCCCCTTCTCCCAGCAAAGTGGCAGGCAGTTCTGCAGGTCAGCCAAACAAGAGGAGTGATTTCCAATGGTCCCTGTCAGCTTCCCACAAGCAAAGTCAGTGGGGAAGCCAGTAGGAAATCAGAAGTTGTTCCTGGTCCTCTGCTTGTTTGCTTCACATGGTCATTCTGGTGCTCTGCTTAGATGAAGAAATATTTCTGAAATGATGACCCGCCCAACAGATGATGGGTTGGTTAGTATATTATATTTTCAAAGTGATAAATCCTATTCTTTATGCAGTAGCCGGCTGTTTTATTTTAATTGTAGAATGTACTACACATAGGATGACAGGCTTGTACATGCTTATTCAGAAGTCCTATGGAGGTGAGTAAGTTTGCATACTTGAGTGAGAATAATGGAGTAATAATGGGAAAAACCAATCATTGGTTTGTTTAGACTTGAATTAATTCAACTTTAAAATAGCCTGAATGAACGAAGAAAATTGAATGTTGATGTTTCTGGAACTAGTTGTGTATATTAAAGGACTGGTTTATCATTTCTGTTTTAGACACAATAGTGCCACTTTCTCTCATTAAAAGCTTCTTTACTTAGTTGGTAAAAGGAATGACTCGTCATTAAACGTCTACTGAAATTCTGGCTGATGTTTCATTTAATGAAGTCACAAAGCTGTGGCTAAAGCCTATGTTAAATTATATGAAAACACAACTGGGTGATTACTTAAGTATCATTTTTCTTTTTTTAAACTGGTATGTTAATCTAGACAACATTTCCTTTAGCATCATGAGAATTTCCTATACTTTGGTGACAATATGAGAATATATATATGATGAAGAAATCACTTGTCAGCTCTGTTTTGCTAACCCATCTACCTATAATTATGAACTGGTCCCAAGATTACCATGAAAACAGGCTGGATTAATCACATTTCCAAGAGACAGTAAAAGCATCCTTGGGGGATTATCTCACAACTGCTGTTTCTTCTAACACAATATGAATCCTTCCTGCCTGATAAATTCCTATCTAAGTAGTAATTGCAAATAAATTTCCTGTCCTTTTAGATAATTATCCTTTTCCTGCCCCATTTACTTTCTGTAATTAGAACGATTGAAAAGACCAACTTCACAACTAATTTGGCTGGCCCCAAAGCTACAAAGTTCAGCCCTTGCTGATTAAGAGTATCAACACAATTTTTTTTGTCTCTAAAGCATCTCCTTTGGAAATCAGATTAGGACCATGCTACAGTTTATCCTTATAGTTTTCTGACCGTCTTTTAATAAAACATAGTTTAGTAGTATAAGGAATAACTTGGATAAATTGTGTACCCTGTTGTACTTCACCATATCCACTCAAAAGATTCAGATGCATTTTGTTTGGAGACAAGGTTAGTATTAGTCCTAGGTATCTCATAAACTGCCTTGTGAAAATGGAAGAAAAGAACATATGTGATTTTCCAATTTATTTGGGCTTGTTCTTATAGAATTTTGATTTATATAATTTCTATAGTTTTATAGTTGATTATTAGCCATCAAATTGTTTTTGACTCCTAGCAACCACATAGATGTCTCCATGGGTGATCTATCTCTAATCTAATCTTTCAGATCTCCCACTGATGCACTCATCACTACTGTAATTGAGTCTGCCCACCTTGCTAGTTTTTCTCTTCTCTTTCCTTCCACCTTTCCCAGCATTAAAGACTTTTTCAAAGACAGAATATTGCCTAAGGTGACAGGATCTCTATGGTTAGAGCCAGTGAAATATTGCATGTTTCTGCATGCATGTGTGTTTGTATATACACATAAATGAATAATATAGTTCAATAAATTTAGTAATATTTCCATAGTCCTAGACTGAGTAACGTTATTGCACTGAATGATTGAATGTGTTTGTCAATTCCTCTAGTAAGCAGAAATGGGTTCCAACCATGTAGAAATTATTACAAAAGGGAGCATTTTCATTTGAAAAAGAAGCAGCCAGTAGGTTTTTGACAAGTGATACTTGACAGTATTGCTCGGCCTTGTTTATCAGTATTTGTGCTCAAAAACTGTGTCTACCCTTCCCTTAGCCCTTTGGCTACAGATAGGCTATACTCTGGAAGTACTTGGCAACAATAAAAAGTCACTTTTATCCTTAAAAGTCAGGTTTTCATTCTAACATGCCAGAAATTTAAGGATAAGACCCATATCTCTACCCTCATAAAATGTGAAACCCATTTTTTTCTCTGCTGCATGCAAACAACTCAGAAGGACTCTCCATGGTCTTAGAAGAGGCTTGCAAAACTTGGGGAAGAGCCCCACTGAATAATTAAAAATAATCACAGGGCCACAAATGGATGCTTGGAATGATAGTCGGCTGTTCTACAGCTTGCAGAACAGTGGATGTGCGGGAGGAGATTCAGCGGTCAGGCTGGGAAGTGTTGGAGGTATTCAGCAGTGTGTCTTTTGGGGTAGCGGTGAATTTATTGACTTGATAAAACCCCGGAGGATCACACGTCTGCTTAGCAGACTGCTTGTTGTGTAGACCTACATTAGAAGCAGGTGGCTGTCAGGAAATGACTTATGACTAGATGCTGACCTCTTAGCAATTTCATTGGTAAACCTTTGTGTGTTTTAGGAATACATGGAGCTAACAATATGATACTTTCCTCTGCCTAAGAGTTGACAGAGGCAAGAAGATATAATTTTATTTATTTATTTATTGGCTTTATTTATAAGTTATAGTGTATAATAAAGCTTCAAATATGTTGTTATAAATAATCTTTGTATGCATGTAAATCACATTATAATTTTACTGACTTGTGTGAAATAGATAAGATATCCCCCCCCCCAAAAAAATGTAATATGTGAAGTTATGCTTGGGTTTCTGTTGCTAATGAAATGTAATTGTAAAACTCTGGATTGAATATATCATGTCTCAGTATAGGTCCAGTGTTTAGTTTAAATAAGCAAATAGCTAGCAGCTTGTATTTAGATTTTGTGTATAGCTTAAATGTTAAATATTAAGGGAATGTTCAGGAATATGATTGTAGAAAGAGCGACAATCCTTTTATCTAACTCTTCTTTCTTCAGAATATTTTCACATATATCCCACCAGTCTTTTGATATTTTTCATAATATTATCTCTTGATAATTTTTGTTAAAAATACAAAGCTACTTTCCTTTCATTATAGAGATTTTTATTTAATTGAAGATACTGAATTTATTTAAGAACAAAGATTTTACCATATGAAAATATTTATAGGTTACTTTAAAATGTTGTTTTTATAATATACCATAACTCTTTGAAAACAAGATACATTATTCAGCCATTTATCTATTTCTGAAGTTCTGTGATCCACAGACATAATTTCTCTGTCAATACCCGCTTCTTTGAGTTCCAGTGATTATACCTAGCTATAATAGTTTCAGTCACTCTTTTTAAACATTATCTTTGATTTTTCATTGTCAGATCTTTTCCTGATCTTACCTTTGCATTATATAGTACTTTCAAAAATACTTCCAGTGATCAATTTGGCTTTACTTCATCAAGAATTAAATGATAATGACTGTTAGAGGTGGTATTCATCAGGTTCTGACAAGTTCTGGAGCACTGGTAGTGGAAATTTTGAGTAATTTGGAGAACTGGTAAATACCACCTCTGACTGACCCCACCCACATCTATTCTCTGCCTCCCAAGTTCCAGCTGATCAGGAGGAATGGGGATTTTGCAGTATCCTTCCCCTGGAGTGGGGAAGGAATGGAGATTTTACAGTATCCTTCCCCTGCCATGCCCACCAAGCCACACCTACCTAACCACGCCCACTGAACCAGTAGTAAAAAAAATTGA